AACACTGAATTATAAGAGTAAATAATAACATTAACAATGTCTGAATTATAGCATTTATTTACTCAACAACTTTCCTTGAAATTTGAATAAAAAGTCAAAGAAACCTTTAATCATTTCCCTTCCCATATTTTTGAAACTCTAAAGCACTTCAAAAGTTTATATCAGATTACAAATTCAGGTACATGCACAATTAGCCTCAGCATTAATGCCAATGAAGCACAGAAGAATGTGGGTTAACAGTAGATGTGCCAGACTCTTCTTTATTGATTTTCATGCAGTTTCAGGTTGGAATTAACAGAATTCTTCTCAGAAATGAACACTTCTCAGTGCAGAGAGCAGTAACAGCTTTGGTTTTGGTGGTACATAAACATTTGTTGTTTATATTTGAATCCTGTAGAGTCCTATCAATGAGGAAAAAATGGGGAAACTGATTCTGATGAACAAATACAAGTCATCATTTTAGTAGATAAACTACCCTACTCAATAAGAAAGTTACATATTAAGCTACTTCTGTTTCCTTATTCATTAGATAAACATGTGCTCTATCCAATTAAGCAGGATCATATATCAAAGCCCAGAAATACAGAAAAAAGGAAAATTTCCTCTGGACCTCATGATGTTCACACACAAGAGGTAACAGATTCTTAGGGCAGAGAAGTGGGATTTCTAAATCAGACCAAGAGAAAAAGAGTTTGTCAGGGAAGACTATCTGGTTGCAGAGACACTTAGGATGAATCTTGAAGAGGGAGAGTAGTTTTTCTTTGTGAAGTGGAACCATATCAATCTGCTTTCCATTACAGGAGTACAGTCTGCTCTGAAAAATTCTTTCCCCCAGCCAATAACTAACTATATGTAAACTGTTAGTAAATTGAGTTAACAAACTGATATGAATAAATAAAGATTTCAAGTGTGTCTTGTATACCTACAAAACATAATTCATAGAAGAGTGAGTCATCATCTCACATCCAAAGGCTGACAATTACTATCTGATATTATCTGATCCAATGGAAATTAGATACCAAAGATTTAATAGAGTCCTAAGAATAAAGAACCCTATTTGTGACTAAATCCTTCCTTCGATTTTAAACAACAAAAGATTTCTGATTAATTGACTATCAAACTTTTTTTATATTCTATTGTTGCTGTTTGTTGTTGTTGTTGTTTGGTGCCATCAAGTTGGTACCAACTCATAGTGACCCTATGCACAGTATAACGAAACACTGCCTGATCCTGGGCCAACCTCACTACTGTTGCCATGCTTGAGTCCATCGATTCTGTGGAAATCATCGGACAATCTCTTTTGATATCTCATGAGAGTAAAGTTTTACTAAAGGTAATACAGAAATGGCTGCAAGCATACATTGACAGAGAAATTCCAGAGGTTCAAGCCGGATTCATAAGAGGCTTTGAAACGAGGGATAGCATTGCTGATGTCCGATGGATCTTGTCTGAAAGCAGAGAATATCAGAAAGATGTTCACCTTTGCTTTATTGACTATGCAAAGGCTTTCGATTGTGTGGATATTGACAAGCTATGAGCAGCATTGTGAAGTATGAGTATTCTGGAACACTTAATTGTGCTCATGAGGAATCTTTATATGGACCAAGAGGCAGTTGTTCATACAGAACCTGGGAACACTGAATGGTTTAAAATTAAGAAAGGTGTGCAACAAGGTTGTATTCTTTCACCGTACTTATTCAACCTGTATGCTGAGCAAATAATCTGAGAAGCTGAGTTATATGAAGAAAAATGTGGCATCAGGATTGGAGGATGCCTCATTAACAACCTGTGATATGCAGATGATACAACCTTGCTTGCTGAAAATGAAGAGGACTTAAAGCATTATTGCTGTTAGTTGCTGTTAAGTTGGTTGAAAAGCCTAGTGACTATATGCATAACAGATCAAAAGACTACTCTATCTTGCACCATCCTCACAATTGTTTTGTTTGAATCATTGTTGCTGTTAATTCATCTGATTTGAGGGCCTTCCTTCTTTTCACTGACCCTCCACATTTCCAGGAGTCCCGGTAAGGCATTGTAGGATAAACAATGGACTGCAAAGTCAGGTTGAATTGCAAGGCCCATGGTTCAAACTCATCAATCACTTCTCAGAAACCCTATACAGGGTCACTGTGAGTCAGAACCTACTTGACAGCACTTAACAATAATAACCTCTTTACCAAGCATGAAGTCTTACTCCAATGACTGGACCCTCCTAACAACATGTCTAAACTACTAGAGACAAAGTTTTATCACACTCGATTTTAAGCAGCTCCCTGGGTGTACTTCTTTAAAGACTGAATTTTTTGTACTTCTGGTAGTCCATGATACTTTCAATATTCTTCTCCAAAACCATAATTCAAAGGAATTGATTCTTTTACAGTCTTAATTATTCTTTGTCTGACATGCACATGCATACAAGGCTGTAAAAAATACCATGACTTGAGTCAAGTGCATTTTAGTCATCAAACTGACTTTGGTATACATAACATCTCAATGTAAAGAAAACACAAATCATCACCACATCATCCCACATCCAAAGGATGACAACAGAGAAAAGATTGAAGTTGTCAAGGACTTCATTCTTCTTGA